TAATATATTTACTATACGTGACAGACTTAAATACTCATGTGAAAAGTGGTAAAATCATTAGTTATGCTGACGACACAACCATTGTGGTAGCAAGAGACTCCCTCTTGGATTTAAAGCTAACAGCTCAAACTGCAAATGAACAATTTAAAAACTGGTGTAACTCGAATCAATTAGTTCTAAATACTAACAAAACTGTTTGTATGTATTTTGGTAAATCCAAGCAGGAAATTATGTCTTCCACTCCTAACGTTAGCCTGTATACCAAGTTTTTAGGTACCCTTATTGACGACGATCTATCATGGACTCATCACATTGCTCATGTCTGCAAAAAACTGAGTCAAGCATATTATATATTACTTAAGCTAAAATCATGTGTTGATAAAGACGCTTTACGGACTGTGTACTATGCCCTTGCATATCCGCACCTATCATACAATGTCATGGTGTGGGGTGCCGCGGTGGAGAGAAATAGAGTTTTTATGTTACAAAAAAGGCTGATACGACTAATTTATGATGTAAAGCCTAAAACATCACATAAAGATACCTTCATCAAGAATCGTATTCTGACATTCCCGAGTATTTACATTTACAAATTATGTATGTTTGTAAATGCAAATAGACACGAGAACTATTTTCTTCCACTAGGTGACAATCACACTTACTCCACCCGAAACTCTCAAGTATTGACCGTCCCAGTCCATTTTACAGCCAAATATGAAAGAAGTCCATTATACAATTGTGTAAAGGCATTTAATGCACTTCCTTCAGATATTAGAAAAATTAAAAATAAAAATAAATTTAAAGCTGCACTTAAAAACTACCTAATGGACCAATGTTTTTACAAGGCAACTGACATGTACATGTGATAGAATATGTGATATAATATTTATATTTTGTTCTTTTGTAATTTTTATGTATATGTGTGTTTTTTACCAAACTTTCATTGTGACCATGTCTATATGTCAATAACGTTGATCAGAGACAATAAATTATTATTATTATTATTATTATTATAACTATAGGTCTTCTAGTATAAAACCATTCGCAGGTAGCCGCCCACTGCAAAACTTATGTCTTTTTCTTTGCTCAGTGGTAGAGCGTTGGGTGTGAACCTGGTCCGAGGTAAGAATTTCCTTAGATCCGTTTCGAGTATTCTGCCGGCTACTCCGTCTTAGGTTTTCCTGCAGTTTTCCGAATTTGTAAGGTCGGGAACATATAAATAATAAGAAAACTATGCAAAATCTTTGCTTTTGAAATTGAGGAATACGAAAAAAATCCTTATGTAGAGACGTATAGTTCATGTAGAATTTAAGTTCTGTGTAAAATGTGGGGTGTCCCTTCAATGGCACTAAAGTTTATTGTGATAAAGATTTGCAACTATTTTTAAAATAGGAAAATGGCTATTTTAAGAACTTTTTCGGTAGTTTTTTTCTGAGCAGAGTGCAGGATCGCAGGCATATACCGGTATGGTGACTTGAACAACGCACCATAGGTAATTCAATAGTAATTTCTTCATTTCTGATTATTGGCTTCCCTAATTATTTTAGAGATAAATCTATTTAGGTTTTTTGTAGAGACAAAAATTACGAATCCATGCATACTATGGCTTTTAATTTTTTGAACTTTAAAACCAAGAAATTGGGTAACTAAAAACTGGCGCTTTTAAGCAAATCAGTGGTGCCATGGTAGTTTTGCGATCAAACAAAGCTCACTGATGGCGCTAATGGGAAATGCAGGCGCTTTTGTTTGATTTCATAATTCCATGGCATTACAGACTTTATAAACGCGTCAGTTTTTAATTTTTAAATTTTTACTGTTTCTGAATTAATAAAATACAAACAATAGTATCTACAGATTCGCAATTTTTTTCTCTACAAGAAACCTAAATAGACTTTATTTCTAAAATAATTACGGGAGCCAATAATCGGAAATTAAAAAATTACTATTGAAGTTCCTATGGTGCGTTCGTCAAGTCACCACCCCGTATAATAAGATTGAGCTATGTACCTATAAGTAAAAAGTGATTTCATATTTGGCAATTCTTTTTGTATTAATTTTTGGGGGAGCTAATTTAATGATTAAGTAATAAGACTGTAGGATTAGTGATGATATTCAGAAGAAGTTCACCTTTGGCACAAAGAGAACCGCCCTGGAACCACCTAAAGAAGACCTTCCTCAAAAAAGTCGTTCTAAGGTTTTGTTTGAACTTTGTGGTAGGCATCCAGATCCATAACTCGAAATAAAATTGTCAAGTTCAGATGAGCCTACAGCTATTAAATTGTTCGCACATTGTAAATTAAATAACACACGAATGAATTTTTTTTGCGTTCGTTCATCACGTCTTCAGAAAAATTCTGTATTATTGTTTCACTAATAATGAGTAGGTACCTAAATTACATTCTGTATTCTGCGAATTTCCCACAACGTGACTACCTAGTACCTATGCTAGTACATAGCATATCTAGATGATTTTGCCACGTGTAGAACTATAAATTATTAATTGCTTACTTCTAAACGTTCATATATTCGGGGGAAAAACATAAAATACATGCGCCAAAAATACGAATTTGTGGCCAGTGAACTTTTACTAAGTACTTATATGAAAGCGTATGCGATTTAAGTAGGTACCTAACATTTGAAATATTAAGGTAGGTTATTTAAACGAGGTCTGTAGAATGTGATGACTCAGTTGACGTACTCGAGAATGTAATAACAAAGGAGCATTATTGTCGCCTGTCGGGATGTTTGCATGGATTCTCTTTATTTTTCTTACAAATAAAAATGAGATAAAAGTAGGTATAATATTCCTTCTGTAAATTCGCTTTGCAAAACGCGCCATCTATTCTAGTGTAGCGCCAAGTGGCAATTTATTGTTAAGAGTTTGTAACATCGGTTACTTTTAAAATTCACGACTTCTGCGCCCCCTTTTCAGATTGTCGCGTCCAGTACTAAAAAATCTCGATGTCCAAATCGGTTACCTTTTTTTTCCGTAAGGTTGTTTCACTATTCTATTCTTGCACTATGGCAATATTAAACCACGCGTTTCTGGCATGTATGGTCAGCAGCATACACCTAGGGAAGATAATGTAAAGGCTCACCGTATACGAATAGGGCACACTAAACTTACGCATCAACATCTGCTTAAAGGTGAAGCTGCTCCTCGCTGTAATCAGTGTCAGGTGGTATTGAATATAAAACACGTAATACAAAATTGTCCAAAATACCAACTACAACGCCTTACACATAAATTAGAAATGGCGTACGTGGATAACTTGTGCAACCTTGTGAATATGAAAAGGGCACTTGAATTACTGAAAGATGTCGGTATATACCAAGAAGTGTGACCTGAAAATGCGAGGTAGTAGAAGCAGTTGTGTGGTACAAACTGGTGTATAAAGGGGATATGACCTTAGATGTTAAACCCTATCAAAAAAAAAATGAACTCTTCTCTAGGTCTTAATTTGGGCTAAATTAAACACAAAACTATAGCGCTCAGGGCCAGCAAACTTTGAAAACGTTTCTGGACGGTTTTGCTTAATTAGGATGGCAAAAGCTCTAGGTACAACACGTCTGAACTAAATAGCTAACGCCTAACAGACCACAATGAGAATGTATTTCGTCTGGTAACTCGAATACAGAAAATGTCGGTAAAAGTGGCTGTGGTTGATTTAAAAATGGCAAATTTCATTTGAGATTAATAACAATTCGGATATTTGCGAGAACTTACTGACGTGCAGCTTAATATCACATCCTATTGATATTTCGAAAGCTAAATGAAGTGAAAAAGTTTAGCAGTGATGTAGGTCCTTCTTAAGCAGCTTATAACAACCGTCGGCTAGCTCTTCATCTTTTCCAAGTACTCAACAGATTGACATAATCAGCTTAGGATCGCGACTCATTCTGTTACCTTAATCTGTTTATCCTATAACCATCGAGTCTTGGTAAAAGTAAAAGGCTATTTTGGAAGGACAACATAGAAAAATATTATGTTCATTTTGGGCTTCCTGTTTTGTAAATAAATATTTAGAAATTTTTTTGCCGATGGCCTCTGCACGAAGAACGTTCTTTGTCGCTCGCGCTCCTTTAATTAAGAGATTCTATATACGGGTTGCCGTCTTCTCTCCTTTCTTATAATACATGGCATTTCCGCCTTTTCATAAATAATTCTTTATTTTGTAAACGTCTACGCGTTCCTTAATCCTTTTAGATATACTTAAAGCGACCGACACCGACAGATCCCCAATAAAGAATATATATGGTATCTACATAACGTGTATAACCAGCAGGTATCAAAGGGAAGCGACGGTCTACAGTTACACCTGGGCCTCTCTCTTACAACTTAATTTTTTTACTTTTGATGCCGCGGAAATTTTAACGCCAGATTATCGCGCGAGTTCGCACGACGTAAACAATTGCATTTTCTTCTCAGACTGTTATTGTCCAATTGTTAAGCATTTGAATGCGTCTCACAGTCTAATGTTAATATTGGTGAAATCGATGTCGTAATAAATTATAGGTTGGAGGAACGGTGTTTCCGACAATTGCGAGCTGCGTATTGTACGCAATGACGCGGCAATAAAGTACAACAATGGCGACCGCTCGAAATTAGCATAACTGACAATATTATTACACGGCAGAGTGCCATCAAAAAGGTGCGAGAATAATGCCGAAAGTGGCGTAGGTTTGTAATTACGACGGAGCCGATGTTCCCCGTGTTTTGGGCACAATCATTATCTTGAATGATATTGGTTAGTTTACATCCTCTTCATAATCTACACTAATTTCTATGTTGTCGAGCACAAAAGGCAATTGTGTGAGATCGCGCGAATTTTCGCCTTGTAATACGAAACCTTTCAAGGCGCGCACACATTTTAAGACGCGCCGATAATGCGTGCGTTAATTTTTTTTTAAAGAAAAGGACACGTCAACAACTCCATAAATAAATAAATAAATAAATAATGAATTAGCGTGACAGCAAATAGTAGCTTAAGTACTGTCACTCAAGAGTGTTTGGAAATAATAAGCCGGAAGGCACCCTTGTTTGAATCTGCGTGCGTTCCTAATTGCAAAACAACAATCGGGACTCGAGTGCGAATAATTTGTACACAAACAAAACTCTCCTCCTTTTTTTTTGAAGTTTGCTAATGCAAACTGGATTGTACAGCTTTGTTTGTTTCATGATTTTGTAGTGCTAGTGCTTTTTTGCGTGTAGAGGAACGATTGCTAGTTCAGAAAACTGTAAATGAAGATTAGCGATTAAAATCACATTTTTCCTAAAAATAAAATTTTTAATTTTTTGGGAAGAGTGCTTTGGAAAAACAAAATGTTCTTTTATTGTGAACAAAAGTTTGAGTTTTGACAGCTTGATCCATCTGTCTGGTTGCAGCGTTGGCAGGGAACTAGTGTTGAGAAAATTCGATTTTCATCTTACTTTCGTTTTGCATGAAAATACATAATAATTCAAATTAGAACAAAATACATAAGAATAAATAATATTTTCGCAATAAAACTAGCACAAACGTAAATGACACTATTTGAAATAGGTAAGTCAACCTTTTGTTAAAAACAAAAAAAAAATTGTTTTTGCAAAGCACACTTCTCAGAAAATAAAAATTGTAATTTTAGGATAAATGTGGTACTGAACCACCATGTGTGATATATCGTTGTAAAAAGAAAAAAAAGACGTATTCTCAAAATGTCAAATTCCAAAACGGCGCCCATAAGAAAAATTAAAAGTTACCACGTGTTTCTCCGTCACCTTAAAAGTTATTAAAAACGGGATGCCATATTCAAAATCTCCATTAAAAAGTGTCTGAATAATGTGTTAATTAGAAATGTCTAGTACAGGGTTTAGTAGGTAGTTTACAATGAAAAAACTAAAAACGAAAATAAGAAATTGTTTTTAAAAAATTATTTTTTTTAGCAATTCAAAAACCAGCCGAT